ATAATTAATTTTTTTAAGAAAATCATCTTAATCTTTATTCAGAATTCTTTTCACCGGATTTCCCCATGTTTTGTAGAAAAAATATTTTTTTCAACTTTAACAGGATTGTGCCACGTCTTCCCGTTGTCCGATCGAGCTCAGTTTTTACACAATTTTTTTTCTCACGAAATGGAACAACTTTAGGGGGCGTCGTGAAAAAAATTCAAAAAAAATTTTTCACCAAGTATAAATAAGGTCCACCCTAATACATATATGTATTTTATACAACAGACTTAAAGTGACTAAAATGACCAATGAGATCATAATGATGCAAAAACTTGGCGTGCCCGGATTGACATTAATTAATAAGATGTACATAAAATGCGGGCACGCTAAGTTTTTGCATCATTATAATCCCATTGGTCATTTTAGTCACTTTAAATCTGTTGTATGAAATTTAAAATTATTTGGAAAAACAATGGCATTAATCTTTTACTGCATATATTTTTGGATGGTTTAAACACTTTAAACGGTTTATTATAAAAATATTTGTGTGTTTAATCAAATATATAAACAATATACACATCACTTAGGTTGAATAAGATAATTTTTATTTAACTTGACGCCATTTACTGATATTAAATCTTTTATACAAGTAATAGTAATTGAATATAATAAAACACCGTACATAATTTTTATTCAACTTGATGCCATTTACTGATATCAAGTCATTTATACAGGTAATAATAGTAATATATCATTATACATATCATTGAAGTAAAGTTAGTTAACATTAAAGAAGGATACCATTTAGGTTTTATCTTTTAAAAAAATTATATTTAATTTGGAAACAAGTTTTTTTTCAAGGAACGTGATTAAATTTGACAACAATTTGACAATTTGACTTCTTTTACTTTTTTTTAAAGTCAATTTTGTAATCACAATATCACGCATTTTGTAGTTATAACATACCTCGGATTAATGCTTGTTCGCTTGGAGAGGATGTTTTATTCGAGGAGAATTACTCCGTCGCGTATTATCTCATTTTCGTGCTTTTTTTTTACTGAGCATATAATAAAAATTGTGTAACGGAAAGATAAAGGAGGCAATGTAGATCTGCCCTTTCATCTTTCTACTAAAATAAATAATCAGTTATAACTATATATACCTACATATATCTATTACGACCATATAAGTGTTTTACATAACGAATAAGGAAGGCCAATGCACAGTCATAGCAGAATCTTGGTGCTACAATTATTTTCTTATGTGATTTTACATACGTCCTAGCTTCGATGAAACTGCATGCCGTTACTTCCGGATTCAAAGCAACCCCCCTTGATTGAAATAGGACCGTATTATCACGTATTAAATTGCTAATCAATTTAATAAGTACTTGATGCTCACTTGCATCTAATAAAATCTCCCTTCCCTGCGACATCAAATAAATGATAGCCTGCATCTATACGAACCATTCTCGACAAATCTGTAAAGAAATTTATTGCAAAATGTCGAAGCTAGGATACGTATGTAAAATCATATAAGAAAATAATTGAAACATCAAGACCTTGCTATGACAGTACATTGGCCTTCCTTATTTATTATATGTGAAATACTTATACGGTCGTAATAGATATATATTTTATTTATACACGTTGGCCTCAATACGTTATACTTTAAATAATTATTGGATTTACGCGGCCTGGAAACGCGCTAGATTGTTTTGTTACGTCCAATCCCCGGGAAATGATTTATCTTTAAAGAAAGAAAAAATCAAAGAGAGTCCCGTTTAGAAACGAGGCTGGATCCGAGAAGGAGGGGGATACGGAAGGACGTAAGCAGATAGCCTGTCTCGCAAATAGGCACGGTGGCATATGTGTGAGTCAAAGGCGCTTTAACCGGGCTTGACAGACGAGTCAACGTCCCGAAGGGACGATGTTACTCGATCTCAAGCCAGCGCGATTGTTGATCCTGTTTTGGTCAAGGAACTTAACCCTTTTGTCTCAGGATCGGACCAGTGCGATTTTCTGCAGAGAAGGGGAAAGTGAACGAGGGTGAGATCGTTTAATAAATTATAGAGAGTTTAAGAATTAATTAATACGATTAAATTTATTTCTAACTACGTTTACAATGTTCATAGTAAATGAAAAGAAAGATATTACAGCTCATTTCTATTATTACGGAATCGGAAGATCCAGAGCTGTGGATTATAGATAATTCTCGATACTAATAATTATCAGCGGATAATACTCGTCTTATTTAATCTCGAAAAACGTGTGTAACATATTTGGAATTTCGACGTTAGAGGTGACATAGTAATAACTCAGAATTCATTAATAGTAGTATATTTATATGTATACATATATATATGTATATATGCTTATGTATATTAAAATAAGAAAACGGGGCGCGAACATGAGAGCGAGTACCAAATATTATTAAACATTATCTTAACTAAATGTTGCTGTTATCATAACATTTTACTCTTCGGTGAGCTCCTCCAGCGCGGTGAGCTCCTCCAGCGCGGTGGAAAAGGGGGAAAGAAGAAGTTATAAAAGAAAAGCACGGGTTAATCGCGAGTCGCGGGGGCCGCGGTGGGACATTTAAATTTTGTCCGCGACGAACTGAGGACGAAATTGATTTGAGACAAGTCAACTAATTTAGTTAATCCCGGTTAAAATAAAAGCATAATGACTTACTACCTGCTGTAACTGGGAAGGTTGGCAGGGGCTCACGCTGGGGTCTCGCTGGCCGGTTCCGCGGGGCTTCTCTCCAGGAGCGATCTTAAGCACTCGATTTTCAACCGCGCAGATTTCAACCGCGATTTTCAACAGATTCTAAGTTCTTTTCCGCCCGTTAAAATGGCAACGTGACAAATACTAAATTGACTGCCGAGATCTGAGTGCCTCGAGTCGCCCAGAGAAGACATATATATACCTGGGATCCCGGTCGGGCTCCTTTGATTGTCGGGAGCCGCTGCATTCCGGAAAAGGGGTTATCGGAGTGACCCCCTTTTGATCCGGAGCCGCCGAGTTTTGCGCTAATTGAAAGCTTTCGCGCGTCCGCTTCTTAGAACGGAGGAAGTTTTGAATTCCATCACGTAATAAAATAATTGCCGTTAATCGACTTTCCGTATCCGGCGGCTGACCTTGACGTTTTCCACGAGAGAAAAGAATCGTCCGCGGCGTTGGTGATCGGTAGATAATATTCTCGCCTAGTTTGACGCGTGTCAGGTTTCTTTTCTAAGAATTCACGCGTGGGACCAGGCGGCGATCTTTTCTATTTACTTAATTGTAGGGTAATGGGGTTATCGGCAAAAGATTCCTCTTATTGGCGGCTCTCGCGCGTCCGCTTTTTAAAACGCAGGAAGTCTTAAATCTATCACGTAATAAAATA